AGACTGACAAGGTGCTCCATCAAGAGATAGATCTGCAGCTCTTAATGAGAGCCTTGATGTAGGAACTGATACCAATACTCACAGAGAGTATTGTCTCTGCTGCCTGACAAACTTCCAGTCTCTGTTGCTTTGGAAGAGGATGGCATACAGTTGCTTCCCCATTATAATCACCCCACATCAAACATACAGCTGGCAAGATGCAAACACTTCTTTACAGAGGAAGAAGAATCAGCTTTTCATTTAGCTCAGTATATTTACCATGGTCTTTACAGTGCTCTAACGGAGGTTTTCCCATCTATCCAGAGTAACAAATACAGACATACTACTGATAGTGAAAAGCATTTTGACCATACACCTCCAGGGGAGTCAATTAATATATGTAGTAGTCTAGAACAAATGAGTTAGACAAACAACTGTGAAAAACACCACAATGAACCCAAAAGACGTACCAACAGCAAAACCAGCAGGTTGACAGGGAATTCAGTAACACAGCAAAAGCTACTGAAAATACAGAGCCTGGGAGGTGATCAGACTGCAAACCCTGAGAAACACAAAGACTAGAAGGTGCATCAGACACATCACAGTGATCAGCATCAGCAAGTCCATCTAAGCCATAGTTCCAAGATGGAAACATCCAAGGTGAAATTATTGGATCCAACAACGTAAAAGAAAAATTAAAAATTAATCAAAAACACCTTGGTTACCAAACTTTGGAATAAATTTAAGGGGAATAAATCAGTACTGAGAGAGCACCCAGGAGCTCATTATTTGAACTGTGATAACAAATTACATATATTAAAATGGCTGGGGGCCTACAACACAAATTATTCGCAATTGTAACAGACTCTACGCTGAGATCCTCGTTAGCCTAATCATCTCCTTAAAAACAAAGCCAGGCTTCATAAAGGAGAAAACTTGAAAAGTTATACCACAGTAACTTGCCTTCCCTAGCCCCTCTATCCCAAAAGGAAAGAGAAACCAAAATAACAATTAGAAGAAAAAAAAGCTTCATAGAGGCTTCTAAACCCAATTCTTCCAGACCATTTCTATGTAATTACAGAATTAGCAGATGAAAGTTACATATTTCAGTAAAGCCTTTGATACATTATCCTAAAACTGAGGAGATGATATGTCCCAGATATATGTACAATTACCCATAGGAAGACAGTCACCTGAAAGATAGTATGAAACCAGAGGTTGGAATTTGGACCTATTTTTTATCGTATCTGTTAATCATCTGGAAGAAGCACAAACAATGGATTAGTGACCTGAACCTAAAGAAAAGATAGCATGAAATGTGCCTAAGAAAGGATCAAAAAGATGCTGATGACCGTCAATATTCCTATTTAAACAGAATAAAATTGCATAACAATGGGTTAGAGTATATATACCATAACTTACGACAAACAAATAAATACAACACTCCCAGTTTACCTATCCTTATATACACACTTGTAGTACTATGCCATTCAGAACAGATGAGATTATTTCTTTAAATGCCTTTAAATCTTTATATAGTCTCAAGATTTTTAATGTAAGATAAGACGATAGGCTTGAAAAGAGAGGTAAGGAAATGTTATGAATGATATCTCCAATAAATGAAGAATGTCTAGAGCAAGAAGAAAGCCAGTGATTTACCTGTAAGCAACAATATGACTGTTTATAGAGAGAACAATTAACTTTAACAAAAGAAAAAGATGGAGAGTTAGACTAAAGGAATAAACTGCTGAGTGCAGCTTGAGAAATTTCAAGAGTAGAACAATCATACACACAGCCATTTTAACCTGAAGTCACTACAAAAAAACCTGAGCATGTCCAATATGATTTAATAAGTCTGTGATAACGTAACTGCTGGTAATCGATTCTGAATCTTCCTTGAGTTTTATGCCCTTTAAATTCCTCCATGATTTTATTAGCCAGGTTTCAGAATTCAAGAAGCAAATTGAGAAGCAAATCAAGCAAGCCCAATCCCTTCTCTTCCTTTCCATTACCCCAAACAGAGCCAACAATCTTTGAAACTGGAGGTGTATATGAAGTTAAACTCTTCCGTAGGGCCTGACATAATAGGACAAGGGGTAATGATTTTAAACTGAGAGAGAGTAGATTCAGACTAGAAGAGGAAGTGGCTTTTTTTTTTTTTTTTTTTTTTTACAATGAGGGCTGTAAAACACTGGCACAATTTGCCCAGAGAAGTGGCAGATGGAAAATCCCTGGAAACATTCAAGGTCAGGTTAGACGGAGCTCTGAGCAAACTGATCTAGTTGAAGGTGTCCCTGCTCATCGCAGGGAGGGTGGACTAGATGACCTTTAAAAGGTCCCTTCCAACCCAAACTATTCTATGATTCTAAAAAACCAAACCAAACCCACCACATTCATTGATCATGACACATCATGAAATTTAAAGAAAAATTTGGCCACATTTTTATCTGGTATAGCCCAGGGAAACCTCTGCAGCCAGCCTGATGATGTTGGCTCAGATGATAAAACCAGGATATTCTCCTGAGTCAAGATCTCCAAGGGATTACATTGGATTCAGCAGATATCACAGTCATGGAAGCTTCTATTGTGCTTCCGTACTGTTTTGTAGGTTCTCTAGTGTTTTCTGAATAACACTGAGCAAAACCAGAGAGGACAGCACCTGTCTGTGCCTGCCCTAGAATCTCTCTATACCAGAGAATTCAACAGCACAAAGAGTCTATGTATTTTGCAAGTAGTTGTGGATGGAAGCACTAATCAGAACTTCTCTTACTACCTTTTGTTGTTCAGAAAAGTTTTAAGAGGCTGTTACAAAAATTGGTGTTGGAATCCGCAGAAATCTAGTACAGATTTGCTAGTCTGTACTATATAAACAAAGATGCTGCACTGCAAGCAGCAGTCCAATAACTATAAATCCGCCTTTATCACAATATCTGTGCTGAAAGCAGTAACAGAGCTGCACAGAAGTTTTCATCCTCATGTTTTGAGGTTTAGCACTCATGGCATGACTCTTAAATCACATAGTATCTGGTCACAAACATAAATTCATAGGACTTGATCATTGTAAAAATGATGCAAGAGGAATCTAGTAATACCATGAAAGAATTCTCATACTTCATAAAATAGTCCTTGAATGTTAGATTCTATTTATAGATGGAATATTCATTTGGTCCCACTTCTAAAATACTTAGGCTTTCATGGAAACTTGCATCTGAACCAAATTTGGCAGTTCAGACTCATTTTTGGTTTTGTACATCAAAATAATTATATAACATTTGGTCTCCTTTCATAAATAAAATATTCAGGTCCTTTCAATATGAATCCATTTTCTTGCTGCTGGTCAAACACCAGGGACAGCTGTCAGCTCCTTTCCTCCTCCTCAGAGCAGTCTATACGCAGTACGACAACGTTCCCTGATCAATAACTACCGTCTTCAGATCCTCTCCTAGTTGAGTCTCTATCTATTATTGCTTAAGGGATTGGAAACCTGATTACCAGATCAGACATCGGAACAGAACTGCCATACCTATGAACCATGCTGCCCTGGTTTATTAAGCAAAAGGCTCAGTATAAAAAAAAAATAACTAATCCATTACAATGGATTAATACAGTAGTTAGTATTTTAACATTTAAGTTCATGATTAGTAATTTGCCACTAGACTTAGTGGCACATGGCTGAAAGACCATTCATATGAATATTATGTGACGTTATTCTGTCACATGGCTGAAAGACCTATCATATGAATAAGTATATAGAACTTTACAATGGTAAAATGTGATTAATGATACTATAATGTCAAAATTAATCTCATTATCATGTATTTGCCTTCATTCATGTTTCTCTCAAATTAAAAAGAAAAAATAAATTAATGAATGGGTGAGATCTGAGCCATGACAATATAATCCTCCATCTCAAAAGGCTGTAACTTATGAAATGAACAGTTTTATGCTACTAACATGTGATGGAATTCTTTGTTCCAGCAAAAAATGGAACAAGATGTTCTCTTGTCTGCACGCATACTATGGTAGTATAGAAGTTCTGAAAAAAAACCATGAGAAATTCCACCACTACAGCTGTATGAAACTTACATTTCCACTTCACAAAAAATCACGTTTTTTTTCTGATTTTGATTTTTCTTTTTTTCCCTGATTTTGATTTTTCTCCCCCCAGGGCATATTGTTGAATTACAAATTCAAAAAGCTTCCCATAGGGGGGAAAAAAAAAAAAAAAAAAAGAAAAGAGTAGATTATTTATCTTTCCAAATTTGCATGTGTGTGAATGTTTATACATTTCACACTGAAGTACTTTTTAGTATTCAGCCCAGATTTGCCACTGTGTGAAACTCATCCAAAATGGTAAAAGTGAAAAATGACAAGAACTTTATGATAAGTGTTCCATTTTCATTAAACATAATGGATACTTTTGCCAAAAGTAAGTATCTTGGTAAATCTATTTTCTGCCTCAATTCTCCATCCCCAGGGGACAACTTTTAGCTTCAAAATTAAGAGCACAGCAAGTCAATGTTTTATTTCTGAGCAGTTTGTCATTTAGTCAACGGTATCTTATGTCATTAGATGGTGAAAACACAAAAACTTTCCAAGATTTAAGACTTCTGTAGTAAATATTTCTTAGGCAGGTCAACTAAAATATTTATAAAATAAGTTAAATTTAGGTTTTCTTTCCAACGTTCCATACATCTCTTACTAGAATATCAGCTATAGCCATCATTTTGGATTTGTTCCTTTGGAAACAGATCAGACATACTTAAATATACATCCTGACCAAAAAAACAACTCACAATAAAGCTTAACTGAACGCATGCTCTAGAAAAAAGTTATCCAGGCTAGAGGGCAGCATTCACTGCTGAGGCAGCTGAGTACTGGCAACACTGAGCTAAGACAATATCATAATAATCCCACTCTACTAATTTTCTACAAAAAATTACATTTTAAAGCTCTGTCTGGCAAAAGTGAAAGTCTGCCTTCCCAGGAAAATGATAAAAATATACCCCTTTTCAATTTACCTTATTGACATCCATTCGTAACTTCTCATTGTTGGCACTGGCAGCTTTCTCTGCTGCTTTCTTTTGGCGTTGAGGTCCCCTGCCAAAGAAGATGTAGTTGACCAATGCATACTCCAGCAGAGCCATGAAAACGAAGACAAAACATCCCATGAGATACATGTCAATGGCTTTCACATATGGAATTTTGGGAAGAGTCTCTCGAAGATGGGTGTTGATTGTTGTCATTGTGAGCACAGTTGTGATTCCTGAAAAAAAGAATTGACAAGTCTATTGATTGAATTAATTTTAATTTTTTACCATAACCACACATAATATTCAAATGCTAGACCTGAAAAAAATCTAGATTTTTTTTCTGTAGAAAAAAAAAAAAAACAGACCATTGCCAACCTCTGTCTATACTCCCACCTTTGTCTTTAATTTTTTGTATAGCAAAGATCACACCTGTAATTAATATATTTCAATCAAACAGTAGTTGGAGTCCAAGAGTACAGTTTTAAGCACCTAAACTGTAACTTTCCTTAACGTGTCTCAGTTATAAATTACCAGCCTAGAGTCACTGTTACCTTGCTTTCCTCCAGCATTTTCAGGATGTCTGAAGTCTTGAATTCTTATGGGACAATGCTGCCCAGAAAGCCTGGTAAAACTCAGACAGTATTCTAAAAAGTTAAAATGTCAAATTCTCAATTGTATCTTTTATGGTGATTTACTTACTTTATCTATATGAGGGTTGCATTGGCAGGAAACTGTATGAGTTATACAAAATCTAGCAATAAATACTCATATTTATTTTTGTTACATGCTTGGATCCTCCGACAAGGGGCACAGTATAAACAAATACACATGGGATTAGTGATGAGATATAAAAGAACTCTAGAGATTAATTAGGGAAATGTTTTTTCTTTTAGAATGTAAGATAACAGTAAGGAAAAAAGACCTCAAGTTAAGGAGAAGTTAGCTGTGCAACCCTAGTAAAACTTTATTTAATTCATATCTAACAGCAGAAGCAATCTAAATGCATTTTCTTTGGAGAAAAACAAGCAATAAAACAACAAAAGAATACGTTGAGACAATTAGGCTAATTTTGGTTACAATGATTATACAGTTAGCTATTTCAGACATAAAATCACTTCAATTTTTATTTAAATTGTGATGATTTAAATACTGATTCAAATAATACAAAGCTCAACAAGGCAGACATAAAAAGATCTAACATTTATTTTTTCAAATGATGCACTATCCACTAAGCCAGGAGCAAGGAAAAGCATCCAGCTAATGCACACTGCATGAGATGTGTAAAAATGCCTACCTAAAGCAACTCTTGCAGCTGAAGCGTCATAATTAATCCAGAAGGAAACCCAGGACAGGATAGTGATCAGAATAGAAGGCATGTAGGTCTGCAGAATGAAGTAACCAATGTTTCTCTTAAGTTTAAAGCTGAGAGACAGCCTTGGGTAGGCACCTAAAAGAGAATATTTGGAATAGCCATAATTTACTCATATAAAGCCTGAAAACATTTTTCTGTCATTTTGGTTTTATTGTTTCATGCAACACAGAGTATACCCAGAGTTGAAAGATCCAGGATAATCAGTTGCAGATTTTCTAGGAAGAATTGGTATTAAATAATTTTTTATTCTAAGGGTACAAGGATGCTCTTAGTGCATGTCTGCTGGCAATCATAATATTCAACAATCAACAGCCAAAGTACATTTTTGAGCATCAAAACAGAAATGTTTCTTTCCTGAGAAGCTGCAGTATATGCCTACTTCAGTGTAACCCTTACTCTAACCTTTTCTCCAAGCAAGCCAACACTTGCCCTATGACATTGGACACCAGAAATATTTTGGTCTATGAAACACTTGTTGAAATAGGTGGCTTGAGATCACTATTCAAGTCCCATTTCTGCTTCGTTGTGAAGAATTTGGGATGCAAACTACTTCTATACTCCCTAAATTATTATTTCTAGGCATATCGAGAAAGTGAATTTTGAAGATTTTTTTTTTTTTTTTGACACACCTATCAGCTTTCTCAAGTAGGTAGAGAACATCACAGAGAAACAGGCCAACACAGCTCTGGTCTCTTCTGAATGATTTAATATGCCATTGAAGTGTTCTAGTTGTTTCTTGTTTGTTTTTGTTTGCTTGTTTGTTTGGGGTTTTGTTGTTGTTGTTGTTGTTCTTGTTTGATTGGTTGGTTTGTTTTGGTTTTTATGAAATCCAATTCTTCAGAAAGTCATCCTCTTGCTAGCATAGGCTAAACAACAAAACCTGTGGAACAAGGATTTTTAAGGTTTACAGCAAAGACCAAATGATTAGTCTAATGCATTCACAGGTTGGCACAAGGAACATTTAGAAACAGCAAGAGCCAGGTTCCTAAATTTCCTGTAGGCTGGGTTACTTCTTGTTGGAATTAGAACACTGAGGTGTAGAAGTGGCTTAATCAGTTTTCATAGGAAAACAAAAAATACATCTTATTTGACTGAGCCTTATCATGCCAGACCACTGTATCCTCTTCTTAACGTTAATGAGTGATGCCTTATCCACTGTGAAAGTTTTAATAAACACAGGTGCTTTCAAAATTCACTGTTGCTGCTCTAGTTTATTCCTGTTTCTAAATTTTTTGTCCTGATCCTGAACTCCATGTTGAGAATTAGCCCATTTCAACCAGTCTTCCCAGTGAATTCCCCTTTTAGCTTTCCCTCCACGAACCTGTAGAGAAAACAACATTCTTGGTGATAAGCTTGTAGTCTACAATGGAGAACTGTGGCAGTTCGATCTTTGTAACTCCTGTGACTGCATTATCACCCCCACGCCAGTAAAATTCAATGTCATCTGTTGTATAGCCATCTATAAAAACAGGAGTAAACAGTTAAGATACACATCTCTTCTGACATCACAGAGAAAAGTCCAGAGAATTAATTTAGAAAATAACTTTATATTTTTAAAATTAAACTTTTAATAAAAAAATAAACATAAACATACAGACAAGACACTGGTATTTCTAAATATAATTTCAAATGGCAATCCTAGGTGTATTTTAATCTTTGGGTTTTTTTAAAGATATGTCAATATATTAATAAAACAAACCTTTAAAAGCAAATTAAGACTGGACACATCCTTTATATAGGTAGTAACTGAACATTCAGCTTAAGGTAGCTTCTGATCCCAAAGCTGGATAAAACAGTGTGGGTTTACTGCAATTTCAGCCCCCGAGCTGAAACATAAGCATTGGTAACAGAGACGTGACCAGGTCACAAAGTGAGACCTGGAAGAGATGCTTTTCTGTCTTATTCACCATCATCAGCATAGGAAAGAGGACAGTGAGAGAAGTTCAGTATACAGTTACCTCATGATATGTCTTCTGTACGCTATCTAATTTATAATCTGAATATAGATGAAAAAGATAAACTACTCAAATCCATTTAGATTTTACTTGTAAAAACAGCATCATTCTTTTCCTGAAAATGTCTTGAATGCAGTAAGACAGCCACATTCAATGAGGTCCTTGTAAGAAGCAACTATAGCAGATGCAACAGCCATCACTCTGGTTGGCAAAATAAACACACACACACAAAAAACCCAAAACAACAAAAGAAAAAAAAAATCCTACCACCCACCCAAAAAAACCCCAAAAATCCCAGGAGACAGCACTTGTTCTCACAGTCACAAAACATATTCATGAAATATGAATCTGAGTTCACCAAATGGCAGCAGAGCTAACTTGCATACTTGAGAGTTGGTATAAAGAACTGGTCGGCAAATATCAGAAACAAAACTGCTATAAAACCAGGAAATAAGATATTCATGAAGGTTTGTAGCCTTTTAAACACTTCTTGTGTTGACAATTGATAATAAAAATAATAACTCAGAGAAAGAATAATACCTATGATGATTTGGGACTCTGATATAATAAAATGATGTATATTTGACCTTGATTTTAAGTTTTCACCTACAAAGGACAAAATTACATAATAAACACTATTTTACAGTGCTCAAATAACATTTAATTTCAAGGAATAATGCAGATTATGCACTTTGTGATAATCTAGAAACTATCAAACTATTTCCACACATCATTAATTTTTGATAATCCAAGTATAACCCAGGTGCAGAACAGAAGGCAAGAGAGTTTGAAGAGATAAATCCAATAATCTATAAAAACCCTGAAATAACCATAAAAATTTATCCAACATACAGCAAGTTTTAAACTACTTTGGAAGTTACATTGTTATAGCATATTGATAGCTATAAAATTCCCTTTTTTTTTTTTTTGTATATGCGATTTTCATGCTGTTTTTCATGGGGCTAGCAGCAAATCTGAAGTAGTTTGAGGACAGAAAATAGAAAATTATTTTTAGGACTCACAACCATCTCTTTCATACGGGACAAAACTCCTTAAGAAACAGAGTTTAAATTCACATCAACAAATAGCTTACATCAATACTCATCGATTTGTTTCCCCTCATACTTTCTCTCTTGTTTCACCAAGAGGAGAATTGTCAAAAGAATAACTGAACATAATATGTATTAATAACTTCCCACAACATTCAGCCTTCCCTTCTCTGTTTGGACAATGCCATTGAAAAAAAAAACCAGCTAAATTCCTCTATAATGAATTTTTGTGAAACAAAGAATCTCATATATAACATCATTTTTGCATTTATTGTATGTTACTTGCTCAGAATCTAAAACATGAGGGGGCTGAAAAGGAACCAAGATTACTGTCAGTAGAAGGCCTATCCTCTGTAATTAAGCAAGCATTAACTGTGACTCCAAATCATACTGATGCTTCTTACACACTTTGTGATACAATAAAGTATGTTCAAATCTGCATTTTTAATTATCAGAACTCATCAGCTTTGAAGTTGTCTCATGAAGACGAACATGTCATTGAACTTTTTACTTGTCTACTGCAACCTTGCATATGACAACCTTTAGCACTCCATGTAGAACTGTCTCAAATGAAATTTACAGTACAAAATTGTTGCATATTGACCAAGAGATGCTGTGTTTAGCACAACAATTTCCAATGGCTAAACAAGGCATCTTTAGTTCAGTCAAGAAGACTGTCAGAACTGATTTAGATTTTCTATAGTATCAGTTAAATTATTTCAAAATATGCAGATTAATGACTTATCCAGGAGATTGGAATTGTTTTGTTCTCATGAGAAAATACTGTATTTTGCTGCTTAATTATGATTTTTTGAGACTGGCTATTATATGAGAGCCTCCCTCCCTACCTCTCATTTCTTCAATTAACCTTGTTCTATTTCCTCCATAATATAAAGATAAGAGGAGGTACAGGATGGAAGAGCACAATACTTCATAAAAATTTCTTTCCTTCCAAAATGACTGAAATGCTGAGGCACTTTTAAACATATTTAGGAATATGTTCAATATTTAGAGGAATATGAGGAATACTTGCATGTAGTCACATAATTGAGATTATTGTAGTTTCTGAGTTAACAGACTTCAGCTGTGAAATACAACTTGAAAAATCTTGGACAATATAGTGTAATCTTAAATTTAGCTGGTTTACATTCAATACACCTTGTGGCAAAAGTTCTGGCTCTGAGACTGTTAATGTAACACCTTGGTAACTCCTCTCCTCTTCTCTGGCTTGTGGGTGTGAATGTCTCATCCTGTCTGGCCCTATCCTCTGGTTCTCCTGTAAAAGCCGTATTCCAGCAAACAGACTTTGTTTTTGCAAATTGTTACTTACCACATGACTCCACTAATAAGAAAAGCTGTTGTCATGTTCCTGAATACTGGCAGGAAAGAAGACTCTCTGCCTTTTCTGTGATGTACGTAGGACCATTACATCTATTGGTGTAGCTTCTCCCAGTGGAGCAGCAATTGTGTGACAGGAAGGGATTTTACTGTTAGCACTGGGATATTGGCTGTTGACAAGTTGTTTCTACTCTCTGCAGGATACTTGATTTTAAGTATTGCTAGGTCTGCTTCATTTGCTTTAAAAGGTACTTTTCCTGGAAGATCAATGGTACATGGATGGACATCATTAATGACTCTGTTGGTGGCAAGACAGGGCCACTTCAGTAAGACATTTAAAGAGAACACATTTGTTATAGTATTAGTGTGAAGCACAGTCCTTCATTCACTGCAGTAAGTTCCTTGGTCATTTTTCCAAGGGTTACATGGTATGAGGAATATGTGCAGTCTGCAGACTGAAATTCATGAAGTTGTCATGGTGTCTTTTACTTCACAAGACTATCTTCAGAAAAAAGGCAGACAGCTTACTTACGTTTCCTTGTCTATCACCACTTTCTATTTGTCAAGTCTCACTCTAGGCTTTCAGAAAGAAAAATAAAATAAAATGTGAAATAAAATAAAGAAGAATGAATAAATTGAAAAATTTAGAACAACATCCTTAGAGAGTTTAGAAAGAGAATATTACATACCTTATTGTGAGGGTTCACTCTTACTTTGTGATACTGCTTAGTTTTGCTGATGTTCTTAAATCTAACCCGCCCTTCGAGAGCAAGATGCAGAGACTAATAGCATTTATTGAACTTGGTGGGATTAATCAAGGTAATATATTTAATTTTGAGGTAATTTAATGGTTAAACTTCATAACTAACAAATCAAGCTTTTATTTTTCTGAACAAATAAATGCTAAAATAAGTTACAGCAAGAAAAAAAAAAAACCAACACTTTACGTAGGAGAAAACATGTTTATAAAAAGTCTAAATGGCTCTTTATTTTATTGTTTGTAACATCCATTAGTAGAACTTTTCTACTCCACTGCCTATACACGGTTTGGCCTTGAACCATCTCACCATACCAGGGCTCATGCAGGGAAGAACTCTGGGATTTATGTTCCAGCAGACTGTCAAATGCACCAATATTCCCCCTCTACCAGTAAGATGTGTTTAAGCTTCTCCCTGTATTCTCACAGCCTTACTACTAAGCAAATATCGACAATGACTTCTTGAGAAGTGCTAAGCTCCTTTGAAAATCTCACCCAAAAGTTCAAAACAAAGATTCCAAAATACACAGCCCTGGGCTGCTCTGGGGAGGCTGTGCAGAATTCCCTGCTACGTAAGGCACTTACACTGGGGAAATGTTAAGCTTTGGCACTGAATGACAAGATTTGTTAGCAGGTATCAACAAGAATTTCAGGAAGTGTCTTCAAGCTTTTGTTAAAATACTTCCCTCTCTTTCCAAGAAGGAAAAATTATCCCATTCATTTCATAACATGGAAAGAGAGGAAAGAATATCATCATCATCTGCAAATGATGCTACTGTGTACTGCTAAAGCACCCACATGTAGCTGGATATAAGTCTAATATCTGCAAAACATCTGCCTGAACATGGAATGGACCTATTCCATGTCTCCAGTGGATGTTTTATAGATATTAAAGTCCTATTACCTGTGGCTATAATAAACTACATCTGCAGGTATTTGGGACTCAAAACAACTCTTCTTATAAATTAGAATTATTTAAAGACCAACCAATTTTAAATACTAATAAGCACTCTAGAAAGAATTATCTGTGGCTCTTAACAAGAAAAATGCAGAATTAATGAATGGCAGCTCACTATTTCCAAATTATTAGATCACGTGTCAGTAATGTAGAAAATAAAGCATACTAAAACAAAAAATGATGCAAGTAATTTTTGCAAGAATATGAGTTAATACGAAACACTATTTCATTTAGATTGTAAAAGAACTGTTGTTTCACTATATATTAAATTGTATGCAGCACAACTACCACAACAGAGAATCTGATTGATTGGTTTTCCTAAATCATTTATATGTCTTCAGCAGCACGATTTACTTCACATTCAGAAAGTTCAATTTCTTATTTCTCTCATGCATCACACAT